CTGTGTCTGCCTGTAAGTCCTTCCGGATCACCTGTTTTTGGCCACCGGAAGACTCATCTGCCTGGCCGTGTGATCCGGTGTCAGCATGTGAGTCCGTCCAAATCACATGGTCCCTGATACCACACGACCCGTCTATCCGATCGTGTGCTTTACTGTTTGCATATGAGTCCGGACGCATCACCTCTTTTTTACTAATACGCAATTCGTCTGCCCTACCGTGTGATTCGGTGTCTGCATGTGAGTCCGTCCTAGTTACCCGTTTCCTGGTACCGGACGTCTCGTCTGCCCGACCAGCTGCCCTTTTCCCGTCCGGTCGGTGAGACGCAGTTTGGCCGGTCAGCCTCTGCGACTGGCTCGAGTCCATCTTCGAGATGGAGCCGAGCAGGCCGGACAGAGACGAGACCAAAGTGACCGTGTCTGACCGGGTCGGGGATGGACAATGTTTCTTCTCACCGGCCGGCCTGGCGTCCACCCGTTGCCTGGGCAGCCGCTCTGCGGGGCGTTGGGCCGCCCTACTGCCCTGCCCTCGGTCCGGCCGGGCCGTCGTCAGACCCACGGCCCGGTTGGGCCTGCGGACTCGCGGCGGCAGAGCAGGTGCCTCGTGCCGCCTCGCCCAGTCACCGCCTCGAGGCAATCCCGTCCGTCCGGACCGGCCGCTTGAGGCGGCCAAGTGCCCGGGCTGACGTAGACCGGCCCGAGTGCCCGGCCTGGCCGGACCCCTTTCGACCGGCGTCATCGGCAACAGTTTGGTCCGTCTGTACCGGTCGCCGATGGCGGCCGAGCGGTTAGTGATCTTCTCCCCTCGGCTCTGTCGCTGCCGTCCACACGACCGATACCAGAACGCCTTGAATCGCTGCAAGACATAATCAATCACAGCTCGGCTCATCTTCACATTCTCGACCCCTCCCTTCCATCGGCGCCATTTGTAATCAGCATTCGTCCACTCGCCTCGGCCGCCTATTTGGCGGCCAGCACAGTCACGCCTCGCGAAGATGTGGGCCGATGTGAGAACAGAAACCACGAGATGGAGACTCTACTAAACCGTCATTCGGAAAGGCATTCTGGATGAGCATGCATGTGTGCTTGTTTGGAGACGCCACCATTTGCCCACGGGAAAAGGTGGACTCTTCTCCAACCACCTTTTGATTGGCTGTCCCAAAAGCGAGTTCATATGTTGAGCAGACACAAAGACGTCGTCAGAGTGTATGAAGGACACATTGCGCGACTTACCTAATGCGTCCTCCCGACAATTGTGCACAGGTTGTCTCATCTGCTCGCAGCAACCAGCATTTGCACAAGCTAAGGCCAATGTCCGCAGCGGGTTGACACGTCTAGTTACACAGGAGCAGGACATTCTTTTTTTGTGTCCATTGCCTTCAAGTATCTGGCCGTACATAGGACAAGAGTTCTAGTCACCTCAGGTCGCAAGAAGTAATGAAGGAGAACCAGCAACATTTTTCATTTGAGTAGCTATATACATATATATACTAAAATTAATAAAAATTTAATCATTCTAGATCGCTGTAGACGATCCGCAGTGTTGATGTGTGTTTGCTTGTACATGTGTTGTATGTTTGTAATACTTGTTTGTAAAGAATTGCGTGATGTGTGAAAATCATAAAGATATCTGAGTCTAAACTAGCCTTCTGTTCAAAGGTATGAAAACCAAGATGGTGTGGCCTTTTGTGTGGTCGCAGTCTCATTTTGTTGTATAGAAGTTGTTTGACCTTGTTTTCGCAACTTGGTCATAATGGTAGGAAGACTTATAGAAACGCATCGTTAGAAGTTGTTTGACCTTGTTTTCGCAACTTGGTCATATTGGTAGGAAGACTTAGAGGAACGCATCTAGTTTAGGGTCCATTGTCTGCATGATCACGATGCCGGCGAAGGCATGATAGGACGATATAGGAAGTGTGAATAGCCCATGGCAGAAGGGAAGATTGTTGAGCTTACTTCCATTTCGAGTGGAAGTGTTGGGTGAAGAGATTCGAAGGTCACTTCCACCAGAAGACGATGGCTGATTCCTCTTGG